CCAGGTACCAAGCCTAAAACCTTCCCCAGACGATGACTGAAGGTACCCAAACATGACATGAGGGACACGCGTGGTCGGCGCATTGTCCGCTACCAAACTCAAATGCAGCTGGGCTAACCAGTCGTGTAACCATGAGTTCGCCCACGTCGACAAGAAAGAGCGATGCAAAGGCTATGTGGATGACTGCGTATGGGATGCGGTTGATAAAATGACAACACTCGCTGCGTCCGAAATCATGTCCAGTCGGCCTGTCGCGAACCTGTTGGCTCAAATAAAGCCAAGCACACTAACTGTCCCGACGGCCTAATATATAAAGCTTGACAGCTAAGGGCAAAACTCGGTCTCACCAAGGGCTGCAAGGATCACTTAGGAGATACCCGAGACCTGTGTGGCGTACGGGGTATGCGTGGCACGCGTCGGCGAGGTTTCAACCTTGCCATTAAGGCCTTGTCAGCGGGACCATGCGGGTCTGCTCTTCACTGTAAAACAACTTCACGCGCATGTCACGACTCTGTCAGTTCAAGGCCATTAGTGGTCATTGTCGAGTGCCAAGAACGAAAAGTTGCTCGCATATGCTCTTTTCCTTATTCTGGCAGCAACAGCAGTGCATCCGCCTTTACTAATACCACGAGAACGTCTCTAGCTATTGGGTTGTTTCCTTTTGGAAAGGTTTCTTCCTCGGTTTGAAATTTCTATAAATTTGAATCTGTAAGGGCTTTTCCGAGGGGAGATTTAACAAAGGCTACAGACCAGTAGGAAATCATGACGAAGCATCAACCGAAAGCCGACTGTAAATGAGGGTTTAAATATCAAAAGTAGTAGAAGGTGACAGAAATCTTTTTAACTTGGCCAGAAAATGTTGTCCCAAGTTACTGGAAGACGACTTACGGACAGCCTCAATAAAGTCGGGATAGGTCTCGTAGGTGATCAGAGGGATAGGCAATTGTCGGAGGAAAGATTTAATCAGACTGGTGATTGTATTTGGGTCCGGACACCGCTTTTCTGAAAGGTCGACACCTTCGCAGTCTGTGAGGAAGGGGGGAGGAGCAAAGAGCAGACATCATTAGCAATGACAAAGAGCACACGATTTAGGCAGTTCGAGAATAAGCTATTTCAGCAGACCAGGCAGGGGCATCTCTGAATGTTTACTGCAGGGTAGCGAAACCCACGATACGGGGTCTACGAATGACAAATGGCCAAATGGGGGTGCATCGAGTGACGCACAGTTTATTTATATGAACGACCCACGCCATACGAACGTCACGTGTCGCAAGGCTGGCTTAATTGAAAGAAGCATTCTAACTGCGACGCAGCGTATTAGAAAACCCACACTCAATCGCCTATTTTAATAAACCTGGTAGGGCAAGGCTGCAGCTTTTAGGCGTTTGCTTTGAAGCAGCAGCAGCAAGGGCAGGATCAAAGGGCACTCGGACATGGTGCAGTCTAAATGAGGTCAGTAGGCATTTTAATGTACTTTTCAAACGGTCAAAAAGTGCTGAAATGTAGGCCTGTAAAATTGCTGTGACGTTTTTGCATTACTTTCAGTGGAATGCCACATGCAGAAATCGCCGGAGGAAACAGCCCTGCAGCATGTTACATACACAAAGATTCTCTATTCTAATAGAAGTTGACGACAAATTTATGAAAGGGGTTCGAAATGCCTATCATGCTGTATCTCTCTAGGGTGGTATTTATTTGGAGTTTATCAGATCTTACTAATAGGCAATGGCGCCATGCAGTTGAATAGGAAGTCATGCTTGTAATTGTTACAGCTGGGATCA